ATGATCCATAAATTAGCGAGCTCTGCGTACAACAACTTTCCTCCTAAATTTCTAGCACTGATGCCGTTTCCGACTTCCTGTCTGTTTTCAGACTGTTTCATAGTTCTTAGTAACCTTGGCACGAAGCTCACCTATATTTGAACTGAACTAAACGTGGGGGAAGGGGGGGACAGTTTGACTGCCTCCCACGCTCAGCCGTGCGTGGCATTACCGAGTCCGGGGAAAAGGGCACCCTGGGTGTTGAGCGAACGCCGGGTCTTGCCCCTCGGTGGAAGCAACACATCCCTTTTGACTAAGCTTAACGTAAATGGCAATTCTGGGCTCACCAATCTAGGGGAAATTGCGATCTTTGCTTCTATGCCTTCACGTTTATCTCTCACTTTTTATCTATGCTGTCATCCTCTTTCTTTCGTTTTTCCCCTGATTTCCTTGCGGCGAGGGTTAACTACGTCTATTTGCCCAACCTTGGGTGCTTGCTTACGTCCGTCCACCGGTCCGTCTGCTTCTCGCTCAATCACATTATACGGCCTTCACACTAGTAGGCGACCCCAAAAGTAAATTCTACGCAGCCATGCATTACTGCTATATCAGCTATGTATGGTTGGCAACTTGTAGTGTTCTACGGAGCTTCCCCTTTTCGGGCTCGGTGGCGGATAGCCACCATCGCCGCCGAACAGTATATTCCCCGTATGGCAAACTTTTGTCCTGCACTTCCCGATTCCTACTTGAAAAGGTGGCGCACCGAAGAGAATTTCTTTCTTAAGCGAAAACAGTCCTTCCTCAGACACCATGCTGTGGACATTCACCCCGCCGCGGTGGTCTAGTGACAAAGGTACTTGGCTGCTGATCCGCAGGTCACGGGATCGAATAGCGGCTGCGGCGGCTGCATTTTTGATGGAGGTGAAAATGCTGTAGGCCAGTGTGCTCAGATTTGGGTGCACTTTACTGAGAATATACCTTGGCCTGCCACGGTGCACATCTACCTCTGGCACTATAGAGGAGTCACGCACCTACCCTATACAGGTTTACACGTCCTGTGAGCCTCTTCGAGTGCACCTTCGTCTGCTGACCCGACATGCACAGCACCCGTTGTCTTCGCTACAAGTGGACCGACCAGGCTGTACCTATTCGCGATGTCTCGATACGCATAGGCACATGATCCCGTCAGGCTTTGCACCTGCTGTAATCCCTGCAGTGCCTCCATGGACATTGACTAAACCGCTGATGTGCCTTCACATACGTGGAATTTCGTATAAGTCACATGTTTCTTATATTGCTCTCAAGCAACTCACCTTGGCACATTTAGATGACCGATACAGCGACTCTGTGCACATTTACACCGATGGATCCGTAACTTCATCCGCCTCAGCTGCAGCCTTCGTAATCCCTCAACTCGGTATTTCCCGACAGTACAAATTACATCATAGGTCATCTTCGACAGCTGCAGAACTTGTTGCTATACAAGAAGCCATAAAATTTGTGAACGACAAAGCACCGCGTAAATGGACGATTCTGCCCGATTCAAAATCAGCGCTTCAAGCTATCCATTCTTGCTTAAGAAGAGGCCAATTTTACGAGTTAACGTTAGGAATCGTCCAAGCATTTGACCTAACACACAGGGGTGGTCACTTGATTACACTCCAATGGATTCCTGAACACTGCGGCCTGGTTGGCAACGAAACAGCCGATAGCGAAGCAAGAGCGGCATTATACAACGCTCCTATGTACGTCAAAGTACCCTACTCGCGAGGTGACGTCAACACATTGTTGGGATCACTCATGCGCGAATGCGCTGCCACTTACTGGTTGCTACCAGATCACCGGAACAAGCGCCTGCGGGAAACAGACCCCAGTATGACTTTTCGTCTTCCAGATAAAATAAGCCGAAGACATGCTAATATACTGCACCGAATTCGCCTGGGCGTCGCCTTCACTCGTCACTACACCCACCTAATCGGCCGTACGGACAGCCCAAATTGTGAACGCTGCCAAGTGCGCGAAACGATAGCTCACATATTTTGTGACTGTGCATTTTACGTGGCACAACGAGAAATGCTAACTGCAACATTGGCAAGCATTGGACGAACACCATTAAGGGAAAGCCACATATTGTCAGCAATGAACGACCAAACAGTGTCAAAAACTGCTACAAAGGCTGTTCTAGGCTTTATAAAAAGCACTGGACTAGAAACTAGACTGTAGGGTACTATACTAAGTGGCTACTGTACATACGCACCACCTCTTCTTGTCCCCATCATCACCCTTCATCCCTCTTTCTTTCCCCTTTCCCTTATCCCCTGTGTAGAGTAGCAGGCTAGAGCGAACTAACTCAGGCCGACCTCTCTGCCCTCTAATAAATTCTCACTCACTCACTCACTCACTCCCTCTGGGTGCACTTTAAAAAACCCCAAGTGGTCGAAATTTCCGGAGCCCTCCACTACGGCGTCTTTCATAATCATATGGTGGTTTTGGGAGGTTCAACCCCCAATATCAATCAATCCCTGCTGGGAAGTGCCCACCTCCTTCTAGACGCACAAGTTGCAATATGACAATTTATCTAAATTTGCTGCATATGGGGACGGTCGAGTTCCAGTAGGGCCCCACACGTTGATGAATACAGTGGGTGGTGTTGTCTCTGGTGACAAAATACAGTGGCTTATGTTGTCTGGAGCTGTCGGAAAGAGAATTATCAGAAGGCTGGCAAGACCGGAATGTAGTCAAAGTTCGAATATTAATAATGCGACGAGACAATAAGTAAATACCCATGAGACACATAATTATCACCATTAGTACCAGTGACTTACCAGAATCAAAACCGGCTTCTGTAGGCTCCTTGTTGGACCCTATGTGTCAAACCCTCGTCGACACTTCAAATGCCAGCGCTTTGGAAATGGACCACAAGGCTTCAGAAGGCACCATACTAGCGGAAAGTGTGCATTGAGCAACCACTCATGAAAAAGATGTACTTCAACAGGTTGTGCGAGCATCGAAGGAGACCATCTTGCCTACTAGACATCGTGCCCAACCCGAAAAAAGAAAGAAACAAATCCTTGATCGTAAAGCGAAATTGCATTTGTCCTTTCTAGAAGCACGTAAACGGTCCGTCCTTCATCAGTCCAGTCTCTTCTTTTCCATCGGCATCCCGGACGCCGCTTACGGCGTTCGAGGTGCCAATGGAAAGGCGCGACTTTTGCGGGCGCAGCACTTTGTAGTGCACCAGAAGAGAAAATCCACATCACAAGGCTCTCAAAAGACCCTGTAACCTAAACCCACAGTGTTTGCACACACAGGACCAAAATACGTGAAAAAGAAGAGACAAATACTACAGTGGAACGTCAGAGGGCTGCCGAGAAACCTTGTCAATATCCAAGAAACACACCTGAAATTTCGCGCACCAATTTTTCTACGGAAATACATTATTTTTTTAAAGAGCTGGAGTGATTTCGCGTCATCCGGAGGTTTAGCCGTTATAGGTAATGAAAAAAAACATTCTGCATCTTCAAAGTGGACAATTGGGCCAGTTGACTGCATAACGATTTACCGCTTCACACATTGCTTAAGAAGGTAGCTTTCCGAGCCGTTATCTCCAACAAATCAGTCACAATCTGCTCTATTTGAATATATTCACGCTACGAAATGAATAAACACGAATAACAGTCACTAATAGATGAACTTCCACAAATATTGTCGCAGTGCAATGCGAAGACTTGTATAGCTTGTGTGGCTCGCAAAACAACTTCCAGCCTTTTGAGATGCTCGTCAAAAGTTGCGAAAAACACTAGGTGCACGAATCAAGTCTCCCACTTCAACGCCGAAAGTACAGTGTCATGAGCCTTTGAAAAGTAGCGGGCGCTGAGCACAGACAAAAGGGCAGAACTTTAAACTCATATAAAACATCCGGCGTTACAAAAGCAGTTTATTGCCGACCTCTTGCGTGTACTTCGAGTGGCCAATATGCGCTTATGGGGTCCATTAAAAAAAGTATCGAGCGTTTCGAAACATATTGAGGTAGGCATCGATATGTAGAAGCGGATACACATCTTTCTAAGTTACGTGATTCAGCTTCCTGTAGTACACGAAAAAAGGCAGAGTACCGTCTTTTTTCTTGACTAGTACTACAGGCGATGCCCATGGGCTCTGCGATGGCTGAATCACATCATCTTCAAGCATTTAGCGTCTCGCTGCTGTGTCACTTCCCATTCCTTTAGAGCCACTCGATAAGGATTCTGGTGTATACTCCGTGCTGCGTAGTCTGTAGTTATCCGATGCTTTGTTAGTGGCATTCGACCGATCCGTGATGTCGATGAAAAGCAGTCCTGGAATTCAGCTAACAGCTCAAGTCTCGTTCCCTCGTTCCTTGACCAACGTACCAACGTCAAGATTAGGTACTGATTTTTCTCTATGTGCTTCGTCTAGTACTGATAAACTGCATTGGACATCTACAGTATTCTCAAAATAAGCGACGGCTGTACCCTTTGGCAGGTGTCAGCGCTCAGCACTGAACTTGGCGAGCAGTAAGTTTGTTCGTCCTCCAGTGACAGTGACAACGCCTCGCGCAACTGAAACTCCATGGCTAAAGATCAGCGAGCTCATTTGGTCGGCAATACCTTTGCCGTCAACGGCTCCTGTCTTGCCACCGAAAGAAGTGTGCACAACCGTGGCGGGACGACCACATCGTCGTCTGTCAGACGTAAGGGGTTATACCTCGGCCCTGAACAATCGAGTAAAACAGGGCTGTTTCAAAACGTAATGATACTGTCCGGGACGTTGATGACGGCGCCATGTTCTCTAAAAAATGGAGCCAGTTATATAAGATTACCAGTTTAAGTAGGACTGACATGTGGTTAAAGCTTAGATGCAGCAGTACAAAACCTCACTGCTTTTTTGACCGATGCTGCAAATAATTCCTCCCAGTGCTTAACAGTGCCGTTCCTATATTTTTTTATTCTCGCCCTGCTTTCAACGCATCTTTGCATAGAAATTGAACATATTTCTTTCAGGTGCTTATCGACGGCGAGAAACGTGCTACTGGAGTCTCTTTCTCCTTAGGGGGTGCGACGTTTAACATTACCGCTACCCGTGAGGTCATCATCTCTGCCGGCGCTGTCGGTTCTCCGCAGTTGCTCTTGCTGTCCGGAATAGGACCAAAGCAGGACCTGGAAAAGATGCAGGTTTGTTGAAAGCTTTATAAATATTTGCTGGACTCGTTTATAAACTACGTTTCCGAAATTACGTGCAGCTAGGTGCAGCCTACCTACAGTCATCAATGAAACTGCCTAATTGAATATAGCCTCTTTGGAAAATTTACAGCCCTCCTCAAGATGTTATCTTCACGAGTCTGGAGCCCTTCACACGAAACAATATTTTCTCACGCATAATTCAATAAATTAACGCGCAGGTGATCAATGCCTCCTTAAGCCGAAAATGTTGCTATATGTCATGCATATTAGATGCCGGACAGCATTGCCCACTGTAGTAATAATTATAATGGGGCTTTGCTCTGTAATATCAATGTATGTTCGTATGTATATGTATGTATGTATGTGATGTGGGAGGGGGGTCACGTGAGGAGAGCATCGACGTGCTATTTTTCCGGCCGCATTCCTCTACCTTACTACATTGTGCACCGCGTCCCACTATCCCAGAACGCCAACGATAATGGCGGACAACTTCACAGGGGGTTTCCCATAGGGTATGCCTTCAATGTGGCTGAACGAACCAAAGCCGGTGTCCTGCTGTTCGAAACTGCAGCACAGGCGCTATACACTGGGAAGACTGGCCAACCGAGCCCGCCGTGCCCTTTCACTACCTCGACCACATGTACGAGTGAAAAAGACTCAAGGCAGCCACGAGCCTGCTGTGCCATACCTCTCAGCAGTCCAAGAGCAACGCTGGCCCAAAGGCACAGATACGAAGGGGAAAACAGCTCACACCAAAAAAGTGCCCAGCCGCAATAATGCAGATGGTCGCGGCTGCCATGACAGTCACAACTGCCGTTCAGCAAACCCAATTCCCGAACCAGTAATGTCAGCCCAAGGAGAGGTGTTATTCCTAAATGGACCCTCAAAAAACCCCTAGAATTAGAGGAACACACTTAGAATATATGTTAATATTATTATTCTGGCTAATTGACTGTTCTGGCTAATAGGCGCGCTATCCTAATACCAAAGTATTAGGATAGCGCGCTTTGTGACCAGGTTCTTCTGAATCCTGCTATAAAAGTAAAAATCACCATTAACCATCTTTAAGGTCTTTTTTTACACGTTGTCTGAAGTTGTATATGAAGGTCGTGCAAATGGCAGCTGCTGTCGCCGAGACAGATTTGCATGTCATTCACTTTACACACGCATTGAAGATAGAGATCTGATCATTCGGATCAACTGCAATTCTGTAGCACCTTTCTTGTATTGTAGCTTCACAGCGGGTTCTCTATTCTTACGCTTCCACATTCGCGATCACTGTTCTGATATTTTCAGTAGATAGAAGGCGGCGCTTTATCACTTGCTGGTAGCTACGCTTTCCTCTGTACTTTCCATCAGCTTCCCGTTTGGCCAAATCTATTCGTCACTGCTTTCACTCTCATGTATAGGGCTCAGCAAAGACTCAAATACTCGAACAGTTTTGTGTTTTTTCGTGACATCGTTTCCGCAATATAGAAACCGTACGGTTCGTAGCACCTTACCATATAGTGAGCGCCACTTTCGCTTTGTTGTTTTATAACCTTCCTGCTTATTTCACATCGGAACACTTGCTCGGCGAAGGCACGTGGTGAGTGTAACGTTCACACGTGTTTATGTGCTCTACAAGACAAAATTTGTCTTTAACAGTGCAGCAATACCTTAAAGAACTCATGAAATGCGCATGTTGAACGCTTACGACAAGTCTTTATTTTCCCCAGTATTCAGACTCTAATACTTTCGCGTTAATAGCGGCAATCCCCTTCACACGGTCTCTGGCAACACGGAAGGCACTCTTAATGGAGAAAAACAAGCACTAAACTAAATATTTTTTTGGCCTCTCTAGTTAAAGAGCGTGATTTCACAGTAGAAGCATTTATTAGGCCATGTAATGTCAAATTTCGGGAGTTCTGCGAAAATTCCTAGACTCAACATAGACGGCAAATCACTAATTGAGGTTATATATGCAAAGATTTATGGGTAAGCCCCTAGGTTTGGCGTCCCTGTCCCGAGCTGCGAACTAGCGAAAAGGCAAGACAGCAGCAGCAAGGAAAGTGCCCAAGCAAAACGGGCTGGGGGTCAGCGATCCTGCTCACTCCAAGAGAGCGATAGAGCCAGCGGTGGCTCCCCCTCTAATGACAGTGTCCTCCAGCCCCCCCCCCCCCCTCGTCATGGTCGCACAACACTTTGTTCTCCTGTCCAAAACCCTCCTAGAAAATAACACTCCAAAGCTCAACAAGGTGCAAGCCTCTCCGTCTCGTTCGGTGTACGACGTCAAAGGCAGAACAGGTTAGGCATCCCTCTCTACCACCATAGCCGAGAAAGGCGAATAAGTTTCTCGCCAGCTCCCGGCCACACCTCTCTGAAAAGGGGGTCTACTAAGCCACGCCAGTAATGAAAGCAAACCGAGCGCAACGCCAGAAACGCAGCAACAGCTGGGTGCTGGGGCCGCCGGACAAACAATTCCCATCACTCCTATCTGACGACACCCTACAAGGCACCAAATTTTGTGGAAAAGTTCCTACTGCTGCCGAATAGGGCGGAAAAAACATGCGCGTTCTAAAAGCTGCGGCTACCTCTGAAAAAAACGCGCAACGCCCGCAGCCTCCTGTTCGCTCACAACAGGCAGCAAATGACATCCCTCTGTCTCAACATACAGCACCAGTGAGCGACCCTTACAGCTTGACGCCGGCGCTTGCAAGCTCCCCGTTCAGCGGGGAGGCAGAACTGTAGCGTCATCATCGTCATTCATCAGCGTCATCAATTCTCAACCATTGCGCTATGCTTCTCGCGTAGCTCATGCTAGGTCGAGCTGCGTGAGCAACAAAACGAGTCCACGCGGCTGGCGTGTCGAACGCTCTTAGCCGCTACCGCTCTACTTCAGCCATACAAATAAAGTGGCGAGATTGCACGGCCCCATCGGCCGCCTTCGTCTCATGCCTCGTCTCCTTCTCTCGCTACAGTGGCGACACGAATATCATGACTTTCGATGAGCCCCCCGCTGCCGTGCTTCCGCGACTCTGCCCGCAATTGCCGCTATTCCACCCGACCTTACCCAAGCATGATTCATGCGGCTCGATGCCGTTCTCTTCGTGAATAGTGCCATAGACCACCCGCTTTTGTACGGCATTTTGTCGAAGCGCTGCCGGTTGAGTTTCGCCATCTTGCTGCCGCACCGACCACAAGCCTGCGGCCATATGATGCTCTTAGCGCAGCGGTGCTCGCCTGCTACAGCGTCACATACCACCCGCTTACGGGGGCCCACAACTTCCATGGTCCCTTGCGTCGTAGCGTACGCTACCAACTGGTCCGCAGCCCTCGATTTACTGCGACATCACTACCACAGCTACGACTACATCTACGTCCGATCTGGTCGTAAGGATATTCAATCCGGCATCTGACCAGTGCGACGGGGTAAAAGACACCCCCACCGAGACTGGCCTCACCATCCAACAGGTGCGTTGCCTGCTACCTACACGTCTTCCGTGACAACGACGGCATACGACACCTCAGCACCACAAGACTCCACGGCGGCTACCTCGGCTACCTGCCCTGCGCGCCCGCCTTTCGGCATCCGTATCCATACGAGCACACACTGACGGCAACGAGCAGCGGCAACTACGAACCTGTATCGATATAGTTTTGATTGTAAAATCATTGCTTAAGAAAACACCTGGCGTCTTTCGTTAAGCAGCTGGCGTCTTATTTTTTGTTTTGCTTTAGAAACATCTGGCGTCTTTCTATGGTTTATTGAACGAAAATTTTTCATTGTTTAATCACGCACAGGAGAAGTCTCACCAGGCACTACCTTGGAGGTAAAAAATGGCTGCTGCTGGGAATGAGAGACAAGTGGGCTTTTAACACTTCTACTTCTACTAACGTTTTCTACTGGAACATGCCAATGGCTGCTAATGGGGAATGAGAGGCAGACGAATTCGGCTCTATGTTAACGCGCACGCTGCGATTTTTTTTATTGTTCAACAACGCACAGGAGAAATATCCCACCGGCAACACCTTGGAGGCCAAAGCGTACGACTGGTAACACTTTACGACTAAGACCATGAGGGACGAACAGGTGCCGCTATAACGAGCTTCGCCCCTAAAATTGGCGGCAAAGCCCTACTCACTTGTTAAGCCGCAGTGCACGTAACTGACTGTTGTAACCAACGGGAGTTTAGCCTACTCTGTGCCTACTTCGCGTGCCTTTTTTCGTGAAAGAGGTGACCACGCTTGCTGTTGGCGTGACCGAGCTTGTTGCGGTCTTGCAGAGCAAAACGAACCCACCAACGCCGTTGGCGTCGGTGGTTTTTTCTGCTCTTCGTGCATTACAAGACAGCCACTTGCCAGCAAAGTGAGCAGTACTGTCTCTTTTTGCTTCCTGCGTACAAAAATCATCGAATACTAGACCATCGGATAGCCTAGTGGCATTTGCGAGCCGCGACAGCAACCGGGTGACAGCACATTAATCCGAGTTCATCCCGTAGTAGATTATATATTCGGCGGCAGGGGGCGCATCCAGTGCTATCGACGCTGCGTTTCGGCGCAGAAAAATTTCGGTCGCTGTAGAAAGCGAACGCATCAGTGTGAACTAGGTGCGAAACGTTTGTTCCCTCCGCCGCCGTCATCTTGAGCCCACCCGCTCGCTTCCCCAAGGTGGCACCGCCGTGGTGCCCCTTGGGTGCCCCGGTGCCCTCCACCACGACGTCTCTTGTATTGTATGCTGGGTTTGAGAAGTTAAACCCCACACGTCAATGTCATGCCACTTCCTCAATGCGACCTTGACGTACAGGCATTTCAGGAGGCACGAGTTAAAGAAGGGGTGCTCAATCTCAGACCATGTGGCCTACCACGGTGCAGTGGCCTGTGAAAACAGTGCGTTCCTCAGCACACATTGTGTCAACTCGGCGGACTCCTGGGAATATCGAGGGCTTTCATCTACTTGCGCTTACTCTTTCCTAAGGTGCCCATCGACGCTTTGGACACCCTCTGTGCGG